CCCTCGTGATCTGGCGTTCTTGTTTGACGCCCCGGGCTGCAGTGCTTTTCTTGCGGTGAACTCAGGATCCGACAGGCGGCATGTCTTCGGCCGGGCGGTTCCCTCGCTTTATTTTCCAGTGCCGACGGCAAGCATAACTAAGATGTATTACGATACCCCACCGATTTTTACCAGGAACTGGAGGAGTACCATATGGCTATGGGGGTTTATAATCTTCTCATTGTATTCCACCGTACATGAAATTTGATTGAATCTACAATCTACCATCAAAAAGGTGTAGATATCAATGACAACGTGTTTGGTCTTGATTATCCGGGCACAATGATTAGCTATGGGGATTTAGTTGTCTTCTACTACAGGCTTCAACATACTGGGCTCGCTTTGAAGTATGTCTCTTCATTTGACATGCGGGCCTACTTATCTGCATATTCTGCTACCTATATTAATGTGGCTATGATGGAAGACTGTTTGGGGAATTTCCAGTTGCTCTTAGGTATCTGCATGAGTCTCTTAAGTGTTGCCAAAGACTTGTAGGAGCTGCCCACATACAAGCTGCTAATAGCTATCATGCTATAGCACTTGCTCTCTCGTTTGAGCACGAATCGGGAAAAGCAGCAATGGCCGTCTTGGATGATTTGCATGTGGGCTACAACACCTAGAAGAATTATGCGACAGATGAGCGTGAGGCCAAATGGAGGCCGAGAGTCTTCTTGGTCTCGACATATCACCAACAGCAGCAACCACTACTCAAAGGGGCGGCAGTTCTGACGGAGACAAGATCGTGCTCGAATTCGAGGATAAATTCTTCTCAATCGGAGAGGATGATAAAGACGAGATAGCTTAATTATTTATTTCCATTGTTGTTTTTATTATTTCTCTTATTTATTTTATATATATTTGGTAGGTTATTATTATTATTATTATTATTATTATTATTATTATTATTATTATTATTATTATTATTATTGTTGTTGTTGTTGTTGTTGTTGTCGTCTTGTTAGACAAGCTAGAAATCTAGGTTTTTAAGAGTTCAAAGGTTTGTACGAGTCTTATTTCATTCTCGTTTGTTTGTTTTGATTTCAAATAAAATTTACGATCTCTCCTTCTCCTTTTTATGAAGCAGTTGAAGTTGAAATAAAATTTACGAGATTGAAATCATGTTATCTTCTCCCACTCACACTGGCTTCTCGACATCACCCTAGCTAGCTAGAGACTTGTCGATCGGGACCTATCCGTATTCTAAGCTCACATGGCTAAACGAGCTGCCTCTCAGCTGTTTGTAAGCAGTGCGTATTTTTCCTAATAATGTTTGCCATTAAGTATCTTTTCTAAACCTTCATTTAACGACATTCCTAGTTAACTTGGCATTTGGCTGATTAGTCTTATCGTTTTACACCACAACTAGAAAATTGGAGAGGTTGTTTTTGCCTTTTGATATTGTTGAGGAAAGTAAAGATGGTAGCTTTCAGTTTGATGTTTATTTTGTGTCACTTTCATTTGTTTAAGCATCATGTTTGCTGTTGCAGTAAGGCTGGTGAATGATCCCAGGACCCAACGGCCTAAAGGATTTGGTTTTGTAAAAAATGCTCGAAATTCGTTGCAGGCTAGCTAGGAATGGGAGGGTAAAGACCCAATTTTTACCGAGCATTTACTGTTTTGTCTTCGTATTTTCATGGACATTCAGTTTCTAGTTTCTACTCAGATTTTTGCATTTAGATATGGTGCTCCATTGCCTGTGTCTCTGATTCCTTTGATGAGTTAGTTAGAAGACCTCTCTGGCGGATACAACCAGCAGGGCTTTCGTCCTCGACGTAGGCCCGCTGCTCCACAATGGGGACCTCGTTTTTGGCCTCATGCACAATCCTCTGGTTATGATTATCCACAAAGAG